TCACCAGCATTGAAGGAGATTCTTCTCAAAATATACAGGTAAGAAGATCAACTCGTATCAATCATATATAGATCCTGTGTTAATTTCTAATCTTATTCAACTGCAAAATAACACCATTCCTTCTGCCATGCGTTTGACGCAATCAACTCATCTCACATTCAGCCAAACTATCTTCCTTTAGTAGTTAAATTCTAACAGCATATTTCTAAAGAAAAAGAAAATCATTCATGCTGCAGTCGGGATAAATGTACAATATAATTAGGCTCCACACAGTCTAAGAACATCAAGACAAGCATAATAAGTCGATAAACAGCATTGTAACTTCAAATAAAATGTTTCAGCATTGTAACTTCAAATATATGTTTCTGCATTACTGGGTAATTTTAAGCTGGCATCTTCAACTTCAATGGAGATTTCTTATTTCTAACTAAAATGATGATGAAATTACCATAAAACAAGAATTTATGGTATCGAAGAAATAGCAGTAAAAAAGTCTTTGGTCTAAATCTTTTGAAGTGTGATTACAATAAAGTTTTATACCATGATATACATTTCTGCCATAGTGTAATACAGAAAGTTTCATAAATTTCCAATGCTGTGATTATCTGAAAATCAGAAGATGTAGGCTCTATATAATTATCCATATCAACCTCCTAAACATAGGGAGTTGACATCGAAATTATTAAACAAAGTTACAATCTGGACTAGGATTACACACAATCATTTGAAATCAAGAAAGTAAAAATCATAATTTTGACTGAAAGAAAACAGAATTGCAAGGATCTGTCACATGAACCACCATATACACTGTATATGGGGCATAAAGGCATAAAGAAACTTAATATAGTGGGATGTCCTATTAACTGTGAAAGTGGATATGGGTTTCGCTGTAGGTTTAAGGGCCACCATCTGTTGAGCAGATAAGGATATGGGTTTTCCAGGTAGATTAGCAATTCTAGGTGTTAAAGGTGTACAATACTCTTCCGTGATTCAGTTAAGTGTTAGCAACATTTGTCATTTCAAAGTAGGACTTACTGCTTTTCCTTCAAGTCGATGAAACAGGAAAAAGAACACAAATATCTTCTAGTAATATTCATCAACTAATCAATTATTTACACATTAGCAAGCACAATAATGTTATATCCCAGTCAGGCATCAAGTCACACTATATACTTGAACAAATGGACATGGCATTAGAACAAGGAGTGGTTCTGAGGCCAAGTCCTGTTGCCTAATGTGTTTAGCCTGCACGCGATGAAATGAGGTGCGTTGATAAAATATAAATAACTAAATATGACCGCTTTTAAAGTGATTACATCGGCAAAAAATTCAAGGCAATGCAAAAGAGAAAATCAATCATGAATTATTTACCACTGGAAAAAGTAAATCACATTTCAGATAGAAGAGAGTCCACTGAAGGTTTGAACACATTCAGCCTCACAAGAAAAATCCAAATCATGCCTACTTCTCTTAAATAAATTGGTTTCAGATCTTATGGAGTCAAGAAAGTCTAGTTGCGCAATTTCCTAATTATGCAAAATTATATGAATATATAGCTGTCATAAAACCCAGGGTTCTGCTTCTTTTAGCAACCTATGAAACGTATGAATTCAACAAATACTCCAATACTATTCGAAATCTTAGTCTGATGGTGACTATTATATTTTCATGCAGAGCAGAGAAGTCCGTGGAGATCGATCATCAAATGCATGAATTTGGATCTGTACAATACCATGTTCAGGTAAAATTGTGGAGTCATCTTTGACTCATTAGAAACTGAAGAAGACAGACTTAAAGAAATTTAATATGAATTAGCAATCACGATAGTTAATCTTGAGCTCATGAAAACATGCAAAAAAATTGTTACACATTAAGCTGGGATTTATGAGGTAAATACAGATAGATAATGAGTTATGTGGAATGTCAACAATTTTCTCAGAAATTCAGTGGCAAATAGGAATTCTAATCATTATGTTGAATGTATAACAGTGTTCTGCATCAGATCCACATCAAACTTATTTGTCAGTCTCAATTCCTCTTCTATCTCAAGGATTGCAATTTACATCCAGGCTTCCAAACCACACTCTAGATATGGTTAAGGGAATTTGTCCTGATGTTGTGGAGATTATTGACCCTCCAAAAGATGGCTAGGTTCTCGAACACAGTAATTTGT